TCCCCAATGTTTTAGTAGCAGGCAAAGTCAGATATTATGCTACTCGTCTGGATTGTGCTGGGTCCACAAAACGCCCCCAGCGGGGGTGCTCCCCGGTTCAGGGCCCCGCTCCTCCAGGGAGGGCTGCGTACCTGTGAGCTGCTCCCGGGTGGCCGTGAGGTGCTGTGGCTTGTGAAGGCGGCGTTTTTCCTCTCCAGAAGGGAGTTTCTGCCTCTTCCACCTCAATTAGGATTGTCCTTTGTTGCAGGAGTTCCTCTTATCCAGTTTTCAGCTCTGTCTCAGGGGTAAATTTTTCCATGAGTAGTTGTAAATTGGCTGTGTCCGCGGGAGGAGGTGAGTTCAGAGTCTGCTTACGCCGCCACCTTGACTTCTCTCCTCCTCATTGTTTTAAAGCCACCTTTGTGTTTCTTTTTCTCTAGCTTTGATGTTCCAAATGAATAGTTGGAATAACCGCAAACCTTGTTGCCCTCTTTTAAAATACACATCCATCTTTCTTTGCTAGGGTCTAATATACACTAAGTTTTCTTCCTATTTTAACGTTTATGATTTATATCACTGGCTCTTGATCTTTAGTGAGCTGGAGATCACCTCAGGGAGGTTGTTAAAATGCAGATTCTCAGGATCCAACCTCTAGATATTGTGATTCAGTGGGTCTGGGTGGAGCCCTGGAATCTGCATTTTAACATTACCACAGGAGCTTCCAATGCAGGTGGTCCACAGACTATACTTTTCAAAACATTCATCCATGAATTGTTAAGGAAACTTAGTATTTTTCACATAAAAGTGACAATCTCATGTAGTATAAAGTTTAGATTTAAGAGTGATCGCTCCTTCTGATGACTCCTCCCCCAACACACACACACATTACTTATACCTTTATAAACATCAGTATTATGTTATATGCCTTAAAATGTGGTTCTTTGTGCTCTCGCCTTGTCTTCTCTCTCAGCTTTTTGAGAGTGAGATCCACGTCTTTATCTAGCCTAAAGCTCCAGTGTTGTGAAATAAAGGATGTGTGACATAAACCAGAGCGTACAGTTCCAATTTTACTTTCTTTGCTTATGGATCAAGTTTCTCTGCCAGCTGTGTAAGTTCCTAGTCTTTTTTTCCCCCACAAAGCTCAGATGTGGATGGCACAGTGCTAACCCCCTCAACTGCCACACTGCCTGCTAAGTCTAGCAAGGGGCAGTTGTTTTATTTAAAAATATGTGTATAAATCATTTCTGGTAGCTTTCGATGCCTTTCCCAGGACCTCTGACGAGCCCTTTCCTCTGAGAATCTTAGAGTGAAAAGAACACTTGAAAAAGCAGCACAAATGGTTCAGTAAACATCCCAGTGGGTTTCCCACAAGACATAAAGTATCAAGTGTGATGTGAAAGGACAGGACGATGTATACCGGCAACTCTATGCTACCTCCCCGTGGCAAGATGCTCCATGGCATTCCAGCCCCCCTCCGCCCTAACATCCTGGGTCTTCAGTGGACTCGGACGGCCCAAGTTCATTCATGTATCTCCAGCAGCGCTAAGGCCAGTGCGCCTTCAAATATTTGCTGGGAAATAGGTTAACAGTATGAGTGACAGGAAACAAAAACACATGGTTAGAATTTTACTTTCTTCTGCCCAACCGAGGATCACTGGTTCTGCCAATTGTGTAACTTCCTCATTTATTTATTTTTTTAGCACAGCCTAATCTTAATGCACAGATCAGTCAAGAGGCAAATGTGGAAGACCTCCTAGACTCAAAGCACAATCCTAATAGCACAAAATATACACACCTAACTCAGCACTAGTAAAACTCCAGAGCTTCTGAGAAACATCATTGCACCCACCAACTGGGACAGTCAACCCCGCCCAGACCTGGAACCCTCAGAACAGGTCAGGGCTAGCTTGAAAGTGATTGTCCCAGAAGTATAACTCGGACGATTTTGCCTGAAGAACAGAGAGGACTAAGAGAACTGAGCAAGGATCCACCAGTCTGGAGGATGCTCCGGTCCACTGCGATTAGAATAAGAAGAAATAACCTGGGGTGGCAGTGGGGGGATGGCTCAAATTCTTTCAGTAAAGAGCTTCCTAAGAAGTGCCTGCACCTTGCACCTGGATTCTTCTTCTTTAGGGGTCACTAGGAAAAAAAAAATTTAGTCAGGATTAAATACAGCCCTGCTCAAGGCAGGGGGGGACACATTTGATGGCATTTTGAGGTCCCTTCCAGCCCTACAAGTAGAGGCTCATTTAACAGTCCCTGTGAATAGACAAGATGAAATAACGTGAATAAAAGCAAAAGCCAATTTTCTTGTAAGACTCAGACAGAAACGACCTCACCCTGCACATAGCTATCATAGGGACTGAACTCATCTCTGGGATTTCAAGTTCCCTGATGACAGAAGAAGCCTTTAATGGAAGATGCTTGCTGGGCTAATGGTCAGGCCCTGAGTGGAAATTCTGAGATCAATAGGCCTTTCTAAATTCAGGAAATCAAGACTGCGCCTAAAGCTTAATGGTCTGATAAGAACAGCAAATACATACTGTCCTTTCTTCTCCTCCCTGCCAGCCATTTAATTGGTTCACACCCCCCTTTTCCTAGAAGTTAATGCTGTCATTACATGCGACCTTTGGGAGGAGGTGAGCAAGGAGAGGAGACAAATTGTTCATAGAAGGTCCCGTGGAAGATGGGCTTAAGGCAATCTAGGCTCTGCCTCATTATGAACAGCAACATTTTCGAAGAACGCCCGTAAGGTCCACTCATAAATCGGGTCTCTATGCTTAAGAGAAGTCTCTACTTTGCTGGGATTACTAATTGGATCAAATGTTCCTAATTCACAGTTACAGGCACTTTGTTTTAGGTGAAAGTTTGAATTATACATTTTTAAAATGCAAAGTAATTCTTTCCTAGAACAATGCTTATTGCCCTGGGCATTGCAGTGAATCTTTGATCAGAGATATTTCTTCCTTCTATTTGGCTTTTATGAAATGGAAAAGCCCAAGTCAAATATCAGGGAAATGAAGGAAGCCTTAAGAAAACAAATCAGGAAACAAAATCATGTATCTTAAAGACTAGCAAAACTTGCATGTTTAATAGGGTGTCATCTGTTTCCCATACTTTCTACAGGTCCAGTTCAGACAGAAGTCACGGAAGAAAAGACTTCTTGATGAGCTAAAGGGATCTTCTGTTCCATTGGATGACTCTGAGGGACAGCCAAAATCCCATCAGCATAGGGCTGGAGAGAGGAGCAATGCTTATCAGAAGAATTTTCAACAAGGGCTGAGGCACATGGGCTTGGTTAGCCACAAGTGTGATCAATGAAAGCATCCCTCTGCACTCCTCCCATAACTGAAACGTGCCTCACTCTATTATTGAGTGACAAAATAAAACGGCTTGTTTTATTTTGTCCACCACCTTACTCCTGGCTAGACTGTAAGCTTGGAGAACTGGGAATGCTTTCATTATCATATCTCAAGCGCCTAGCAGAGTGTTGGCATTCAATGATTAATAGTTAAATTAATTAAACTGAGCAAAGATTTTGCTATCAGGCAAAGAATAAAAAATCAGGCAAGAATAAAAAAAGAATTAATAGGTCTCCATTACTTAATAACATCTCATAAATATTAAAGTTACTTTCTAATGTGAGAATTAATCACTGAATTCTAAAGTTGAAAATCTACTGAGGAATCATTAATTTCTTAAAATCTTAAGTTTGGAAAAAACTATTACTTTAAAACTAGAGTCCTCTTCCTCATCAGTATGATCCATAAAAAAAGTATTTAATGGTTTGCTTTGCCCAATTTTTTTATTTTTTTGTGAGATCAGCCCTGAGCTAACATCCATGCCAATCCTCCTCTTTTTTTTTTCCTGAGGAAGACTGGCCCTGGGCTAACATCCGTGCCCATCTTCCACCACTTTATATGGGACGCCGCCACAGCATGGCTTGCCAAGCAGTGCGTCGGTGTGCGCCTGGGATCCGAACCGGCGAACCCCAGGCCGCGGCATCGGTGCGCACGCACTTAACCGCTTGCGCCACCAGGCCGGCCCCCGCTTTGCCCAATTTTAATGAACCCAAACTCGATCTTTGTGCTGGAAGAGGAAGGAACACTGAAAGCATGCCTGATGACCAGTTTACCTAATTTCTCACCAGAGGCCCACAGGCGAAGGGACTGCTTACCCGTAAGCCCTTAGAATATAAGAAACAACCCAAGCAGCCAGTAAGTCTGCAATGCCACTTCCAGAGCTCCCCTTCGTACACGCTCAAGAATTTTTTCTTGCTGAATTTATCATTAATAACCACGTATCAAATCTACCAATATTGACTTTGTGAAATCCCTGCCCACACCTGTCACTCAGGACTTGGTCTTCTCTTATCTTCCTTCACTGAGAACGGGCAGCATAACTGAGAAGCGTGTAAGATGGTGATGGGCAATGGGGATCTGTTTCCAAAAAACACATGTTTTAAAGGTATTTTATTTTTCAACATTATTAATGACCGAAAAAGCAAGACTTAAAGCAGGAAGGAATAAAACCCAAAACCCAAAAAACGAAGCTTGCAACTTAAACTTTTTAGGGGAGAAAATGCTATAAATATGAAAAGACTTAAAGTGAACATTCACTTTGAATTCACAGTCCCAACGTATCCGACCATGACTTCAAAGAGGTATCCCCCAGTGCCTTCCTAGCACTCTAAAATCACCTCTCTCAAATAATGAGACACACAGTTCTCCTTATTGAGGATGTAATTTTTATAAATTGCATCAGACCCACAGTGAGTGTCTTTCGGGGAGTTTCACCAAAACCAAAGAGAAATTCAAAGATAAAATTGCAGAAGATCAGGGAAAGAATGTAGAACTGCGTGGTCACAGAGCTAACCCGCAAGCCGGCCTTAGTCTTAGGCACCTGAAATCAAACCCACAAGTCCACACCCCGGGCTAAGATAGCGCTTGGTCCTATCTCCCCTCCAGGGGTCTAAACTGTAACTCACGCTCAAACTGCTCAGCGGTCAGCGTGCCCTGGATGGCTTTGCAGCCCGGGTTGAACACAGAGTAGGCACTCTTCTCCCCCTCCTTCTTCTCTTCAGGGCCTCGTGTCCCAACATACATCCAGTAGAACAAGGACAGGACAAAATAAGCCAGGCCAAATTCCAGTTCCACAAACAGTCCCAGCAGCACCAACCAGAGAAGAACCTTCAAGATGGTGATGTTGGTCAGGAAACGCTGCGCCCGTGGTGATGGTGGAGGAATGGCTGTATTCCGTGGTGGCTGTGACGTGCTGCTCCCAGGCTGAGCCGCTTCCTAGGACACACAAACAAACACAAGTAAGAATAAAGCCTCATGGGCGTGAGAGAATCAAACCCAATCTGGAGAGGCAGCTTTCATTGCTCCGGGAAGGCTTCCGGCTCATTGATTTCTATTTTCTTGCCCTGCTCTCTAAAACAATCATCTCCAAAGAGCTCATGGGCCCTGCTCCGACTGAATCAAAACTGATCAGCACTTAGTGAGATGTGACCCAATAAAAACCTTACAGTATTCAGATGGATTCCCATTCATGGGAGACATTTCCTCGGATTAGTCTGCTCCTAACAAGAGCTCATTTGTGCCCCTTACAGAAGCTCCTCAGTAATTGATCATGCAACAGCCATGTGTATGCTTTGCACACAGAATTGATACATGTTTGTTGATTTGATTAGAGGAGCTAAAATTTTGTGAGTGAGATGATTCTAAAATGAGGACTGTACCAGAAACAGGAAACAAAAATCTCTTCCACATATTGAAAAAAAAAAAAAAATACTGTTACAGCCACAACTTCTCCATCCTCTGTGACCATCCTACACCCCCCAGACCCAGGCAGCGTCTCCTAACTGGACTCTCCGCCTCCTATCTCTTCTCTCCCCAAACCATCCTATGTGCCGCTACTCAATGAGTCTCCTAAAACACCCATCAACCTCCTGCTCACAAACCTTCAACAAATTTTTATTGCCTACAGGTTGCAATTTAAACTCCTTCAGCTGGAATCCAAGGCTTTCCATTTATTCAGCAGATAGAAACGCCAGTACGCAGGCCCCTGGGCTGGGTGCTAATGGGAGACACAGCTATTGAGGTAGCATTAGGGAGCTTGATCTATAGTCCAGTATTTTCTAAACGTTTTTGGGTATGACCCACAATAAGAAATACATTTTGTACTGCGACCCAGCATATATATGTAAGAAAGAAAAAAAAGTTTCACAAATCAACAAATACTTTCACTATATATGAAGCTCTCATTTTCTTTTCCTTTTTTTTTTGGTGAGGAAGATTGGCCCTGAGCTAACAGCTGTTGCCAATCTTCCTCTTTTTGCTTGAGGAAGATGGCCCTGAACTAACGTCTGTGCCCATCTTCCTCTGTTTTGCATGTGGGATGCTGCCACAGCATGCTTGTTGAGCAGCGTGTAGGTCTGTGCCCGGGATCTGAACCCACGAACCCCAGGCCACTGAAGCAGAGCATGCGAACTTAACTGCTACGCCACCAGGCCAGCCCCTCTTTTCTATTTTTTAAAATTTATTTTTAACAGAGGACTGGATCCTCTAAATTGATTTCGCCACCCACTAATGGGTCATGACTTGCAGTTTGCAAAACAATAGTCCAAAATTTTTCCTGTACAACACAATCCACCATCTATTGCTCTATAAATGAACCCTCCACTCCCGTTCAACTGGTCTTACTACCCAAAGCCATTGCCTGGCTGTGGCCTTGAATAGCCTCTGCTACCTCGCCATCCCCCAGCTTCTTGCCTTCCTTCCAGGCAAGCATGACTGGCGTGAATTGTGTATGCCCTGACCTCCTTGGCCATCAAGGAGGGCGCCCCCTCTGCCTCCAGGAGCACTAACTGGCACTCTTCCTCACTGATCACCAAACTATTCAGCATTGAAGTGTCTCTCTTGTAATATAGGTCACATGTGCCCCTAGATTGATACCAAGAGGCCATGGACTGCCATTTATTATCTTTTGGTGTCTCCAGAGCCACACACAGCAGGTTCTCAATACATGGCACAGCTTTGGGTTCACTTCTTCAGTTATATCCCCTATTCTTCACAAGATAATTTAAAAGGGGACCACGAATATTATTTGGTCTTGATACAAAATATAGGTCATCTGATTTATGTTGCTTCAGAAATTCTATTTTATTAGAACCTCCTTTTTTAGCATGAACATTGTAATTATTACCTTTTAGTTAGATTGGAAAGGCCCTTAGCATATCATCAGCAACACTGCCTGACACACACATTTATTAAATAAATAAATGTCCCTTTCAGATTTGACCAGTGTGCACAATAGGAAATCACTGAAGGTCTTAGCAGGGAACTAATATAATCCGAGTTATATTTAAGACTACTCTGGCTGCCAGGTAGAGAATGGGCTACAAGAGCAGAAGCAGGGAAATTGCTAGTAGCTTCTGCAGGAGGCCTCGCAAGAGAGGACCAGGCATAGATTATGGTGGTGACACAGAAGTCGGAGAGAAATGATGGACTGATGAATACAGAATACATTATGAATGTGTACAACTTGAAATTCACAGTAAACTGAGTTTATTTTATTATTGAGGGAGTATAAAAGAATAATGCTATGGCCACCATTTATTGAGTGCCTTCAAGGTGCCTGAGCTCCTGTAATCCAGGAGGCAGGCATTATTATTCTCAACTTACTGATAAGGAAACACTGAGACATTAAGTAACTCCTCTAAAGTCACACAGCTAGTGATGGGCAGAGATGAGGTTGGTCTAGGATCCTAGCATGGTCTCCCTCCAAAGCCCTTTCTACTTAATTAGAGGTCTTTATGGGGGATAGCAAGGGGAAGGGTTAGAGAGCTAGAAGAAGATGGGGTGGTAGGGGGAAATGAACTGGCATAGAGAACAAACAAAGGAGAGGAGGGATGTGGAAATTCTTTTGGCGTTGGTTTTGCTACCAGTGCGCCTTCTGCTGGCAAAGCTGTGTGTGGAAGTGTTGTGGTCGTCACAGCACGTATAGGCATAGTTAGGGAAGATACTTCCATTACTCAAATACCAAGCTGCTTCCCACCTCACGGCCTTGGCACCTGTGGGTCCCTCCGAGAGGAATGTCCCCTTCTCCTCATGTCACCTGGCTGTCTCCCTCTTCTCCTACAAACCTCAGCAAAAATGTCATCATATGTGCCCTTGGCCTTAACCCCAGGTTTCTACAAGAGTGGCTCCTTCTTATGAAATGTCACCTCCTCAGTGAGGTCCTCCCCGCACTCCCCCCAATTCACTATCACAGTACCCTGGTTTTCTTCCCCTTTTATAGCATTCATCATTCTGCTCTTTTTTTTATTGTCTGCCGTCCCCTGCCTCTTCAAATTCAAATACAAGATATGTGAGAGCAGGGCTTTATCTGTCTTTATTACAGTCTCCCCAGATTTAGGACAGTAGCAGGAACACAGCGGGCCCAAGAAAGGATTCTGCTGAATGAACGAATGATGGTGAGGGAAAGGAAGAAATTAAAAGATGACTCCTGGATTTGAGGGGTGATGCAAAGGCTGTGCTCAACCAGGTAACTCCAAAGGAGAGCATCTGAGCAGTGAGCCAACCTGAGCCAAGGGTTGGAGGTGAGGAGTTGCAGGATGAGTGTGGGCAGTGGACCCTGGGGCTAGACGGTGCACTGGGGCTGGTGTGGGATATGCCTGGGGAGGAAGATGGGGGGGTTTCTGCAGGATTACAAAACATTACAAGCATTTTGTCCTAATGTAGTAGAAGCTTGTCACAGAAAGAAATATTTTATTTGGGGGACTGCTTTTCCCGGAGCTAAATCCAAGAGTGGAGGAAGGAGGATGTGGATGCTTCCTTATCAATGACTCCTGAAAAGAAGCAATTACAAACAGAAGGCTAAAGAAATCTCTGACAAGCCACCAAAATTATTAGGTAGAAATAACTTTGGTAGAAATGGATTGCAAATTAGAAAAAAAAAAAATTTAATGAGAATTTTCACACCAGTGCAAACCTAGGAATGATAACCCAGTCAACGAAAATGAGCTTAAGACAGAGTCCCTTATGAAAAACAGAGTTTTTTAGATTAATAAGAACCAACTGGAGGTCCAGCATTTCCTCTCATCCTTTTGTCAGGCCACCAGCTTTTGGGTTTTTAATAATGGAAGCTTTCTCCAAGTTCAGCTTCTCTGGGTCCAACTCAATGATCTCATATTCCTTTGGAAATGAGATATACAGTCAAAAACTCATTGTGTGGGTTAGACATTGTATTTTAACTGCTGGGAGGAAAAAGGGTAGGGTAAGTGGATTCTAAAATATTAAGCAATTGTTGTGTTCAGTGAGTTCTAATCGACAATAAAGTTATCCTGAGTTAAACTGCATGCAAGGAAATGGACTGTTTGCACCGTGCTGCACTCTCTTTCTGCAAGTCATCTGGAACCTTGCGTGTCATGGAGAATAATACCTAATCAAAACTGAGTAACAATACGTTCTCCTTGATTTAAAAAAATTCCCTAAAACCGGATGTCGTGCAATAATAAATAAACTTAGGAGAAATAACTTTAAGAGGAGTAAAGTACACTTCTGCTCCAGTCCCTTTTAATTTTCAAAAGGAATTTTTGGCTCTTATTAAATTTATGAGGTCCAAGGGCCTTGTCACAGATTGTCTCAAAGCACGGATTTTCCCTTAATCTTTGTCCTACATTCCCACATAGTCCAATCTCACATGCAAGTCACCTTGCCACTTTACTCAGGAGTGAAAACTAAATGAAAATACGAAAAGATGTTTATTAAGCTCATCTGAAAAATAAGAGACTACCAAAGAATTAAAGGGTGAAAAGGCTATCATACTAATCTAAATATTGATTTCGCCTTGAACGTTCGTTATTGACCTTGAATAAGCTCTTCTAGTTCAACAGCGGTGCACAGAATGTGTATGCCACCACTGGTAGTTATAGCTACCACACTTTTGCAAGTTTTGTATTCAAACGCCATTTCTAAAGCACAGGCTATTTGGGCTACCGGCTCATTTGGCCCAGGTGCGAAATCAAATGAAGGCTTAATTACTGCCACTTTTTATCAGTATCCAATTAGACCTTTTACCCTCCATTAGCAGAGGGCTGTGGTTCTGCACGGTTGCGGAAAGATTTCCCAAAGCCACAGGGCGTCACAACGATAACTCGCTGTGAATCACTCAAAGGCAGGGATGTTTTCTTCCAGGACCTTAGACCTTCGCTTCCCGCCTGGAAACAGGAGCTGCGTGGGTCGCGGGCTGGAAAGAAAATGTCAAAGCCACGCTATCAGTGCTGACACGTGGGACAGGAGAGGCGAGGCCCCGCCCCCGAGCAGGGGGGGGCGCCAGCAGCCAGTGGAGGGGGCGTGGCTTGGGGGCCGTCACGTGGCGGGCGGGGACTCGGGCGCAGTTTCCAGGGAAGCACGACTGCGGCGCGGAAGCCTGATCGCGGGGCCGAGGCCTCCGTTCTCTCACCTGAGCGCGGCTAGGCTGGGCTTGGGCCCTCCCAGGCGTCGGTTTCCACACCAGAAACCGTTTTAGCCAGCCCAGGGCTGCCTTTGGAGTCGCAGCTGCTTCCGCCTTCTCTCCCGAGGTTTGTGCGCTCTGCCTCGAAGTGCTGGGTTCGGCCGCCAGCCCGGCCCGTTTGCGGGCCGCCCGGAACTCAGCTAACCGCTGTTCCATGGCGCTGGCGCGCGCCTCGGTCCGCGCGCGCCCGCTTGCAGTCATCGGCCCTCCGCTCTGCCTGGCGCCGGGCTGCAGTGCGCCTGCGTAGCGAAGGGTCTGTACTGCGCGTGCGCGCTGGAGGCCCCGGGCCCCGCGTGCGCAGGTTTGTGACGTTCCCGGGCCTACTGTACCGCTAATAGTCCCTTCCAAAGGCGCTTGGACGCGTTGTCCGCCTCCTCACGCTATATCGTTCAGGATCTAAAGCATCAAGACTGCCCCGTTGTTCTTCTCTCTTGCCCCGGGCTCCACCGAGGGAAGCTCTGCGGTGCTCCATCTCACTTTAGGAATCTGGTCCCCAACAGGTGGAGCATTCTTGAGCAGTGGAGCGCTCATATTGGGCGCCAGGTTGCGAAGGTGGTCCCAGGGCATTGAAGAAGGCCCTTGATCTCTGGGAGGTTCTGGTGTCAGAAGGAAGACAGGATACAGCCTCTCCTTTCCCTTTCAACGGATTTGCCAATCTTGGCCAATCTCACTGCTCACCTGGCAGGCTGGCCGTGCAGAACTCTATCATCGCTTCTGCCACAATGGAAACTTCCTTTTGATGTGTCTAGATAGATCAGAAACTTTAAAAAAAAGCTTTTATTGGGGTGAAACTTAAAATACATCTTAAGTGTACTGCTAAATAAGTTTGTACTTATGCTTATGTATACACCTATATAACTACTATCAGGATAAAGAACATTTCTGTTACCCCGAGGGCTCTCTTGTGCCCTCTGCTAATAACTACTCACCCAAAAGGTCACAGTTCAGGTCAGGGACTGTTAGGTTTTTAAAGCTCTAAGCATCTAGCTAAGTGCAGCTCACGTAATTGAGAAGCAAATATTTCTTGGATCTTTGTGAGTTTGAGTAAAGAAGCTAAACAAACTAGAATGGAGTCTTTCATTTATTTAACAAATATTTATCCAGAGCCTGCTGTGTGTCGAGTATTGTACCTGGCACTAGAGATGCTGGAGTGAATGAAATAAACCCCTCTTTTCTTAGCACTTACATTCTAAATGGAAAGACAGACAAATGGATAACTACATGTTTATATTTAATGTAATGTCAGGTACTGACTAGTGCTGTGAAGAAAACTAAAGTAAGGAATAGGAATGGTGGGGCTGTTTAGAGCTAATGACTAATGAAGACGTCTCTCAGGAATTGCCATTTGAGCAGAGACCTAAATGAAATGAGTGAGTGAGGCATGTCGATATCTGCAGAAGAGTGTTTCAGTTGGAGGAAACAGCAAGTGCAAAGGTACTGCGACCTCAAGTAGTATGCTTGACCTACTCACAGAACATCACGAAGGCCAGTATAACTGGAGGGTGGGGGGATGGAGAAGAATGGTAGAAAATAAAGATGCACAGGTATCCAAGGACCAGATCACATAAGGCCTTATAGGCCATGGTGAATACTTTGTACTGCATTTGGGTGTGATGGTAGGTGATTGGAGGATTTTGAGTAGGAGATGACATGATATGACATATTTTTAAAGGATCACACTGGCTGCTTCAGATGAGGCCTTGGAAGCGTGCAAGTTAGAAGGAGGGAAACCAGTTAAGAGCAGGTACAGTAGTATAAGACAGACTGGCTGTTTGGGCTAGAGTGGTAGTGATGGAGGTGGTGAGAAATAGTCAGATTCTGAATATATTTTGGAGATCTGAACCAGCATGATGTGCAGATGGATTGAATGTGGAGTGTGAGAAAAAAGAATCAAGGATAACAGATTTCTGCCACTCCCATCCCCCCCGCCCCCCAAACCCTGGCAACCAAGTGAATGATGCTGGGGCCCTCTGCTGAAATGGGGGAAGACTAGGAAGAGAGGATTATGGAATAAACACGAAGAGTTTTGTTTTGGACATGCCAAGAGTTTGAGATGCCTATTGGATATACAGTGTAGGCACTTGGTTAAAACTGGAATTCAGGGAAAAGTCAGGACTGGCGATACCTATTGGAAGTCATCAGCATGTGTATGAAATTTAAAGCCATGGGGCCGGCCCCGTGGCTTAGCGGTTGAGTGCGCGCCCTCCGCTGCTGGCGGCCCGGGTTCAGATCCTGGGCGCATACCGACGCACCACTTCTCCGGCCATGCTGGGGTCATGTCCCATGTACAGCAACTAGAAGGATGTGTAGCTGTGACATACAACTATCTACTGGGGCTTTGGGGGGAAAAAAATAAAAATAAAAATTATTAAAAAATATATATATAAAAAAAATTTAAAGCCATGAAACTGGATGAGATCAACTAGAGAGTGAGTGTGGCTAAGAAGAGAAGATATTTGAGGCCTAAGGCCTGAACAATTAGAGATGGTTTGTAAAACAGAAAAGAATGAGGTCGTTATACCACAATGACCTCTTCTTGAGAAACCACAGAGAAAGTTTCTTGTCCATCTTGGTGTCAGGAGTAGGTCTGCTTCTCTCGAGGGACTGGAGATTCTTTGATTGATTGTGTTTCTCACTTGATAATCACACAGACCTCAGAGCTGTGTTTATGGTCGACTTCTAGTAGGCATTTAGGCTTAAGGCATGTGATTTATGGGCTGTTGCAATCAGGGTCTGTGACAGGAAACACGGCACCTTCAAGAGGGTTAAGTCAGGAGAGTTTTGTGAAGGAGTTCATTACAAAGATGTGGCAGGATTAAGGGAGCCAGCAAGGGATGGTTTCCAGCAAGGGATGGTTCACAAGACGTGTTACCAGCCTCTAGGTCTCAAGCAGCAAGAGGACAGAGCGGTCATCAGAACCCAGTGAGCCCTGTAGCTATAGGAGAAGCCTGAGACAGGGGAGCTCTTAAAGGAGCATAAAACAGGTAGAGACGAGTGGAAAGAGGATTGAGAGAGCAAACAGAGAAAATACAGCCCAGTGCTAATGTCCTTCCAGCTCCATCTTGCTTTGGTAACCTTATTTTTCCTTTGCTTTTTTTCCTGATTTATTAAATTTATTTTGTCTCAGTGCTTTGTAAACCTCTTAAATACTTTTTGGAAGAAATTGAAAGAATGGAAAAAAGTAAAGATGAAAGAGATGATCATGAAGAACAACTCCTGCCAAACTAGCTTCATTTCCTTTTTGGCTAAGATTATGAGACTAGTAAATAAGAAGGATCCCAAGTGTACTTAATGTGTGAATTTAATTTTTATTATAAAATACTTTGTACATACCAAATTTTATATACACACACACACGTATATATATACGCACATATGTAATGTATGTACATATATAACATATTTGTAAGTTACAAGTAATAAAATACCCACATGCCCTGTGATACATTAAGTCTTTGGCCTCAGTTCTTCACTTGTCCTTGTATCCATGCCATAAAAGGCAGAGTGTACTTTCCCATTCCTTGACTTTGAACTCAGCCATGCAGTTGCTTTGGCCAATGGGATGACGGCAGACATTATGCAAGCAGGGGCTTGAAGTGTGTTTGTCTTGCTGAGTGTGCTCTCTTAATACTCTGCGCTGCCATGAGGTGAACTTGCACAGGTAGCCAGCTGGTCCAAGAATAGTGAGAGTCACGTGGATATAGTCACCCAGCTGACCCACGGACCTACTGTTTAAAGCTGAGCTGCCCAGCAGAGCCCAGCCTAAAATAGCTGACTCCAGGTTACCCCCAAGATATATGGAAAATAAGTGCTTATTTTATATTACAGAAATGTTGTGGATTTTTGTGCCACAGAAAAAGCTACTCAAGAAAAAGAACATTTCTCTGTGTGCCTGTGGTCCCTTCCTGGCTCCTTCCCACCTCTTGAATCTATTAATGTAGTGAGTTACATTAAACCATCCTACATTCCTGGAATAAACAAAACTCAGTCACTTTGTAAAATAGAAAGTTCAAAGCTAAGTTGGTAATTTTTAAAGGAATTTTGCATCTGTGTTCATTAATGAGATCTTCCTATAATTTTGTTTCCATGTGCTGTAATTAAAAGGTTTGGGTTTTAGAATTATACTAGTTTTATGAAAGAAGCTGAAGTGTGCCTCTGTCTCTTCTCCCCCATTTTCTAGAACAGTTTGAATAAAATAGGAATTAACTGTTTCTTGAATGTTTGATAGGACTTAGCAGTAATACCTTCTAGACCTGGTGTTTTCTTAGATCAGATAAATAAAGGTAAGATACAATTAACTAGATTCATTGCTGGTCAACACAGCCTTCCCCTAAAAGTGTTAAGAAATGGATCAACATCAGCCTGTCTTGTCTGAGGTTTTTAGGAGTGGCCTGGTTGAAAATATAAAAAGGCAGTTTGTCATATTTTCAGGTGACAAAAATTTGATAGAGAAGATCTACGATTATGTCTTTAGGGTAAAAAAGATAAGTGAATTTCAATTTGTCATGATTAAAGGGTTGTGGAGATGATCAGAGGGAACTCTACTTCCTTCTAGATTTGCATTTATGTTTTTATATCTTTATTTTTGTTTCTTAATCATTTGTTTCAATAGGACTTGGAGCTTTTCCCTGACCACAGACTGGGGAGGAGGGGGCATATGTGGTGGATGCTTCAGCTGCTGCAGTCAATCCTGTTGTTATAGTGAGTGACGACCCCCATGCTCTCATGCTGTATGTGGTCCTGTCCCTGCAGTACCACATGTCAAGTGCTGAGCACTCTGCTTTATATAACAAGCCTTAGAGTGTCCAGAGGAGAGTGACCTGGATAATGATGTTTCTAGAGCAGCGTTTCTCAGCCTCGGTACTTTAGACGTTTGGGGCCAGATGATTCTTTGTTGTGTGGGCTGTCCTGTGTCTTGTAAGATTCTTAGCAACATCCCTGGCCACAACCCATAGTTGCCACTAGCACTCTCTGCTATTTCTAACAACCAAAAATGTCTCCAGACGGTGCCAAATGTCCCCCAGGAGGCAGATTTGCCCCTAGTTGAGAACGAGTGGTCTAGAGACCATGTTGTAGTAAGAGTGGTAAATGCAGTTGATGATTTGGGCCAGAGAAGAAGAGTCATAGTGAAAACATGGCAGTTAGTTAGTTTTAGAAACTATTAAAAGGAGTATTGTCAGTGGGGGAGGAGACTCATTCTGTGGGGCTCCAAAAGGCGGAACTAAGGCCAACAGCTGGAAATTGCAAGGTGACAAATGTGGAATCTTTAAAAAAAAGGACT